TCTAATTTTCTTGAAGAGATCTCTAGTCTTTCCCATTCTGTTGTTTTCCTCTATTTCTTTGCATTGATCGCTGAGGAAGGCTTTCTTATCTCTCCTTGCTATTCTTTGGAACTCTGCATTCAAATGGGAATATCTTTCCTTTTCTCCTTTGCTTTTCGCTTTTCTTCTTTTCACAGCTATTTGTAAGGCCTCCTCAGACAACCATTTTGCCTTTTTGCATTTCTTTTCTATGGGGATGGTCTTGCTCCCTGTCTCCCATACAGTGTCACAAACCTCTGTCCATAGTTCATCAGGCACTCTGTCTATCAGATCTAGTCCGTTAAATCTATTTCTCACTTCCACTGTATAGTCATAAGGGATTTGATTTAGGTCATACCTGATGGTCTAGTGGTTTTCTCCACTTTCTTCAATTTCAGTCTGAATTTGGCAATAAGGAGTTCATGATCTGAGCCACAGTCAGGTCCTGGTCTTGTTTTTGCTGACTGTATAGAGCTTCTCCATCTTTGGCTGCAAAGAGTAAAATTAATCTGATTTCAATGTTGGCCATCTGGTGGTGTCCACATGTAGAGTCTTCTCTTGTGTTGTTGGAAGAGGGTGTTTGCTTTGACCAGTGCATTCTCTTGGCAGAACCCTATTAGCCTTTGCCCTGCTTCATTCTGTACTCCAAAGCCAAATTTGCCTGTTACTCCAGGTGTTTCTTGACTTCCTACTTATGCACTGCAGTTCCCCATAATGAAAAGGACGTCTTATGGGGGTATTAGTTCTAGAAGTCTTGTATGTCTTCATCGAACCGTTCAACTTCAGCTTCTTCAGCATTACTGGTTGGGCATAGGCTTGGATTACCATGATATTTAATGGTTTGCCTTGGAAACGAACAGAGATCATTCTGTCGTTTTTGAGATTGCATCCAAGTACTGCATTTCAGACTCTTTTGTTGACCATGATGGCTACTCCATTTCTTCTAAGGGATCCCTGCCCATAGTAGTAGATATAATGGTCATCTGAGTGAAATTCACCCATTCCAGTCCATTTTAGCTCACTGATTCCTAGAATGTCGACATTCACTCTTGCCATCTCCTGTTTGACCACTTCCAATTTGCCTCTTGATTCATGGACCTAACATTCCAGGTTCCTATGCAATATTGCTCTTTACAGCATCAGACCTTGCTTCTATCACCAGTCATATCCACAACTGGGCATTGTTTTTGCTTTGGCTCCATCCCTTCATTCTTTCTGGAGTTATTTCTCGACTGATCTCCAGTAGCATATTGGGCACCTACTGACCTGGGGAGTTCCTCTTTCCGTGTCCTATCTTTTTGCCTTTTCCTACTGTTCATGGGGATCTCAAGGCAAGAATACTGAAATGGTTTGCCATTCCCTTCTCCAGGGGTCCACATTCTGTCAAACCTCTCCACCATGACCCGTCCGTCTTGGGTGGCCCCACACAGCATGGCTTAGTTTCGTTAAGACAAGCGGCGGCGACCGAGAGCGCCAGGCTGTGACGGTGCAGGAGCGGCCGAGAGGAGCTACCCCACATCTGAGGTCAGGGGTGGCTGCTGAGAGGAGCTACCCCAGTCCAAGGAGCGGCGGCTGTGCGGGTGCAGGAGGGCCGAGAGGAGCTACTCCACGTTCAAGGTCAGGAGGGGCGGCCGTGAGGAGATACCCCTTGTCCAAGGTAAGGAGACGTGGCTGCGCTTTGCTGGAGCAGCCGTGAAGAGATAGCCCACGTCCAAGGTAAGAGAAACCCATGTAAGACGGTAGGTGTTGCGAGAGGGCATCCGAGGGCAGGTACACTGAAACCATAATCACAGAAAACGAGCCAATCTGATCACAGGACCACAGTCTTGTCTAATTTATGGTTACCAATGGTTAAAGGGTGGGGAGGAATAAATTAAGAGGATGGGATTAAAACATACTCCCTACTATACATAAGATAGTTAACCAACAAGGACCTATTGTATAGCACAGGGAATTATACTCAGTATTTTGTAATAACCTAAAATGGAAAGAATCTAAAAAAGAATGTGTGTGTGTGTGTGTGTGTGTGTGCATGTGCTTGCATCTCCCCAGGTGGCGCTAGTGGTAAAAAAAATCCCCTTGCCAATACAGGAGATGTAAGAGATGTGGGTTTGATCCCTGGGTCAGGAAGATCCGCTGGAGGAGGGCACGGCAACCCACTTCAGTATTCTTGCCTGGAGAATCCCATGGACAAAGGAGCCTGGTGGGCTACAGTTCATAGGGTCGCAGAGAGTAGGACACGACTGAAGTGACTTAGCACAGCACAGCACGTGTGTGTACACACAGACATATATTTACATATAACTGAATCATCTTGCTGTATACCTGAAATTAACACAACATTGTAAATCAACTATATTTTGATAAAATTTTTTTTAGAGAGAGTGAGAAAGAGGGAGTTTTTTAAAATGTAAGTGGGGTTTTATTGTACATATTTGTTCTGTATATTGCTTTTTTCTCTTAACAGTATATCCTGGAGATCTTTTCATATCAACTTATGTTTATCTAGTTTATTCTTTTTAATGGCTAATATTTTAAGACTAACAAATTATTCAGTTCCCTATTAATGGACATTTCTGTTTCAAGTTTTTTGCTGCCATTAATAAGGCTAGAGTGAACATTCTGATACTTAATTGTTCTTATCAGTTTCTGTAAGATTGCCAAGTAGGAGAGGAAGTAAAAGATTTTTAAGTCACTAAATCTAAGTACAATAGGACACATTTTGTCAGTACAACCTAAAGAAAGCTATGTGGAAAAAAATAACAATTTTTTTTTAATGAGGAAGAAATGAGTTCTACAGAAAATTCTCTCCATCTCCTCAATAATTAAATCCTTATTGGGATAGTTCTCTGCAGTGAAGACAATAAGATTCTTACAGAAACTGAAGTCTGTTAATGCTTTCACAGTTTGCTTTGTTGTCCCACACCCCTGCCCATTAAGTAATCACTTCTCCTCCAGAAAATAAAGATGACTTAATGACCACTGAGTTTAGAGGGATTTTTTTTCCCCAGCTATCTCTTTGGGATCTACCACCCTAACAAAACAACTATGAGAAGAGAGAAGAATGAGAAGAAACACTAGCATCACTGTTCATTTTTCCTGATTGAGATCAAAGGACTAATGGAGGATAGAGAGGAATGAAAACAGAAGGGGTTTGACACCCTAAAACACATTTAGAATCAGCATAAAGGCAATAGTAATGAATGGAAAGTAACTGAAAATGCATTTTATAGGCTGGTTTGCATATTTTATTTTTCATTAATGCCACAAATGCCTGAATACATTAGAAATGGTTCAGAGAGTCCTCCTTGGTGGTTCGGAGTGTTCCTAATCCTCCTTCAGTGCTCTTTAGTGATTCTTTTAGCATTAATATCAAAGGGCAAGCATCCTCCTGTATAGGTTATACTTTCTATACAAAAATGGGGCTCAGGTTAGTGACTGCCAAGGATTTAGGACAAATATATTTCTATGAGTAAGTCACACTATCTTTTCTGTGACTAATTTACAGAAATATATATTTTTTCCATATTCCTATTCTCCTGCCTCTTCTGAAATTCCTAAGATTCTTATTGTTTTAAATGATTCTTACTGCTTTCTCTTTTTTCTTTCAGGATTTATCTTGTGTATCTTCTTATCATCCCATAAAGCTCAATGATCTAAGTAGATGGGACATCAGACTTACAGGACTCCAGGGTGATTTTGCTCTCCTAAGTCTTACTTTTGCTATGAAAACATTTTTTTCAACATCA